CCCTACAGCTTCCACGAGTGGCCTTTGGGACCACACAGCCCTCCTGGGAGTCTGAAAGCCAGGTTCATGGACCCGGGGTCTCCTCTTCCCAGATCAACAGCCCTAGTTCCCTTGATGTGTTTGGAAGGACATAATTTCCACCTCCTGGCCCAGATCAGCAGCATGAGTCTGAGGCCCAGCCTCACCTCTGCCACTTAGGAGGTGTGACAGTGAACCTGTGACTTTCTCTAAGCCTCAGGTTCATCAGGCCCCAAGGGGGAAGGAAGACTGTACTAACCTCCTAGGGGTGGGCAAGTTCATTGAAATAATGCCTGTAAAGGGCTTAGCATGATGCCTGGCACAGTGTAAGCCTTCAATAAAATGTTGGCTTTATTATTTGTAATATACGACCAGCAGCTGCAAGACAGAGCAGCCAAGGCAGCGGCATGTGGAATCGGGCCTCAGCCCCACTTGCTCCAGGGCCACCAGCTGGGGCACCTGCGGGTCCCCTGTGAGCCGGGCAGAGGCTCCCACTCTGTCCTCTCTGGGCCCAGAGAGCCTCACCAGGGCCTGGCACACAGTGGGTGCTGAATCTGCTTTTTAGAGGCCTGAGGGTTCTGTGGACCTGTGCAGCCTTGGGCCTCTCAGAATCAGAGAACTAACCCACATGCAGCCTTTGTGCACCGCAGAGAAAGATGCCTCTTCCTCTAGACGGATGATGCAGCTGCATTAGTGACCCCCGCCCTGGACAGTGGCCCTGAATGGATAGGACTGTTTCTCGGGCAGGAAGGGAATCTGGGAGGGATGCAGAAGGCCGTCAAGGCTGGCCCTGGGATCGGGGGAGGGGGTGAGGGGACTGTTCATTTGTCGCCTGCTCACATCACCAGACTAAGCTCCGGGGAGGCACTGCTCCCTGCACGAAGTGAGTCCCAAATACACACTTATGAACTAATGAGTCAGTTCAAGTGCAGGAATATGAGGAGAGGGGCCAGATAAGGCTGTGGCTGCTTCAAGCTGCTTTCTCTCTGGATCTCACGTCTGCATCCCCTCTGCCCTTCTCCCCACTGCTTCCAGCCCCACGGGTTCTAGACTCCCCCTTCTCGCCACTACAGGAGAGCTTTGGTCAGGAGGGGCCCTGGAGTCACACGCAGAGAGCTAGAACTTGGTATGGCTGGGATCTGCTTGGCACTGGAACTCTGGCCCTTGGTTCCCAGGGGTGGGGCTGTGGGGCAGTTTCCCGGGCCCCCTTCCCATCTTGGCCTGGAGCAGGCAGGTCAGAGGCTCACCTACAGAGACAGGCCCGAAGGCCTGGGAGCTGTTCCCCACGCTGTTGTAGGCCCTGCACTCGTACGTCCTGTTGTGTTCCAAGGTCCCAATGGCCAGCAGGCTCTGAACGGTCACCTTGTGGAAGGGCTTTTGGCTCAGGACCTCAGGGTTTGGGTCGTCCAGGACCAGCACTTGGGTCTTATCACATCTGGGAAGAACAGAATGTGGCTCAGAGTGTCAGGGTGCCCCACCCCTGCCCCAGCCCCTGCGCCCAGGTGAGGAAGGCAACCAGAGCCCGCTTACCTATTCGTGTGGCCCCTGCACTGCACCCACGTCACATTGGGCTGGGGGTACCCTGAGGCTTCACAGAGCAGGGTTTTAGAGCCGTTGATGAGGGTCCACGTGACCTCTACCTCTGGGGGGTCTGAGGTAGAGGGAGGGGCAAAGGAGGGAGGAGTCAGCCCCAGAGGCCCGCCTCCTGGCTTGACCACCCGACAGAGTCTTCTCTCCCCCAGCCCAGCCATCCCGGCAGCCTCAGGAACCCCATGTCCCCAGCCCCACTCCATCACTCACATAGAAGGGTGAGTTCAAAGGTCAGGGTCTCCTCGCCTCTGGCATTTCTGGCCTGGAAGGAGTAGTGGCCGGCCTCGAAGGGCTTCAGGCGAGGAAGGGTGAGGGTGGAGGTGTACCTGCGTGAGAGGAGCAGGCCATCTGGGGTGAGGACAGTGGGCTCAGACAACCACCTTATAAGGGATTTATTTTTGGTAAAGTGTCCGGGACACAAAGGCCTTGGCTGAACCAAGTACCCAGTCTGAGTGCCCCTGAGACACGCAAAAACCCCCAACCCGATTCCCTTAATTGCTTCTTTCATCCGTAAAGTGCTTTTGTTCTGAGGTTTAGTAGACGTGATGTCTGTAAAATGCCAACACTGGGAGGCAGGCACATCACAGGTCCCAATGAATGTACCTACTTTCACCACCATCACAGGGCTAAACAATCCTTGCTGAAGACGCCAGCACCCAGGTCAGCTTCCATCTCTAAAGCGCCAACCCTGCCAAGAGGGGCTTTGAGAGGGCAGAGAGGCAGGATGTAGCTATGGGCTCCAGAGAACAGGGCTCAAGTCCTAATGTTGCCATTTCCTAGCTGTGTGACCTTAGACAAGTACTTAACCTCTCTGATCCTTTGCTTCCTTTTCTGTGAGGGTGACACTTACAGTAATTAAACCACACACTCAACCTAAGGACTAAAGGGATATGTATTCAGAGTGCCTGATAGAGTGCCTGACTCATTGTAGGCACTTGTCTCTTTACTGGAAAATATCTGCAGCCATTACTAGACTAAACCCCATGGTATTCAGAGAGCAATCCTTGAGATAACTAACATCTCCTTCTTAAACTGAAAGAATTTAACTTTTTGCATGAGTCAAAATCACCATTATGAACACACCTATCACGTGGGCTGTTTGGTGCCCATGCTTATCTGCCCTGTGCTGAATGGCCCCAGATTACTATGTTGGAGGGCATCTCCCTGGTTCCTTTCCACAGTGTCCCTGTTGCTTACAGACCCCTGAAACCTATCCATGGACCAGCCTCCTTCCAGGGTCTGCAGACTCCAGATTCAGAACTTCTGCTTTAGATGAGGGGAAGCTAGAAATCCTGGCCGGAAAGGACAAGAAGGGAACTGGGAAGAGGAAGCTAAGGACAAGGGAACATCCTCGTTGATTCTGATGATCGACAACACAAGAATCCAGGAATCAAAGAGGTTTGGGCTTCTGGAGCTATAGGAAGAGAACTCCAGAGAATTTGGGAGTTGGAAGATGTCTAGGGATTATCTAGCCCAGGGATGGCAAACAGGTCTCCTCTCATGAGCCAGTTATGATGGAAATATAGCCTAGAGACTGTGTTGAGAAGGACTCTGAGGCTGCATCTGGCAGGATGGGTTCAAAAAGGAATTAGGAAAGGGTTCAAAAATGAATTAGGGGGCTTCCCTAGTGGCGCAGTGGTTGAGAGTCCGCCTGCCGATGCAGGGGACACGGGTT